GACATTGACTGAGGATCAGGTTTATTGAATTTTTGGACTTTGGTTAAAATATGTATGATGTTTTGAAAACCGGATCCATTTTTGTCTTCAGGTATATGGGGCGGGGGCAGGTATTCTGTTTGGTCCGATAGAAAGAGCTAGTCTCAATCACTGGACCATCTAGCAAGTCTGACCAAAATTCTGGCAACCACCTACATGAATACACAGTGTCACAGCCAGAAGACCACAATAAAATTATATTTTAACCACATGGATATAATATACATATTTGTTCTGTAATCAACAAATACCTGATAAGTCACTGACTTAATCATGATCAGTACTTATGCCCATGGAATACTCCAAGCAATGTTAATATAATATGAAAATAAAAGCTTTGCATCACAAAACAATCTAAATCATGTTACAGTAATTCAGATACTGTGATGTACCTCCACAAAAAGCATTTTCTTACTGTGTGACACAATCTCTGCTAATATTTGTAACAGGGCACATTCTTACTCCCCACTTAATGGTACCTGCACCTTGTCGTGGTGGTGGGGCTCGAGTACCTCAGTGACCCCAAGAGCTATGCTGGTAGGGTCTCCCTAGGGGGAGAGGTCAGACTAAGACAGGTACCCTGGTCCTCCAGGTTGGGGGTTGGTCGCAAGGCTAACAACAAAGGAAGACGTTTCGAAACCTCGATCAAAGCCTCGGACAGACGGACCTAACGGAGGACCAAATGGAAGAGGAGGAGAATTGAGGAGGCTATGTACCGAATACGGACCGGAGAGCCATAGAAGAAGAAGACATTCTTACTTGTGATCTTAGAGGTTCCAGTCATGCTCTGCCTGTAATAAGTCATATTGCTTACCCATGCACACCTGCATCATCATAGTACTCTCATATCCTTCTTTGCAATCACAGATAAATTTGCCTGGTGTGTTTCGGCATGTTCCATCTCCACACACACCATGCAAGATACTGCACTCATCAATATCTGAAAGAGTAAATAGTTTACTGTCAGTTATGACACTACCGTATGCTGACATTTTACTAAATTACACGGGTCAGAGAGGGTTCGAATACAGTGACAACACAGCCACCAGGAAAACTTATAATGCCATGAGAAGGAGTCTGAACACGTCATAAAAAAGTTACCATTACACACTATTTGGCAAAATACAGGTAGCCCTCGATTTATGCCGGGGATGCGTTCCTGGACAAACCGGCGTAAATTGAAACTCTTTTATAATGTAAATCAATGGGAAGTCAATGACATGCGTTCCCAGCACCCAAACATTGGCAAGTAATATAATGGCATTACATTTAAAGCTCTGAAATAACGTAGATAAAATAAAGGGAATTTAAAAAAATATACATTTTATAGACTTAAAATCGGCAATTCATTGGTCCCCACGATTGACTGCGATTCTTTCATGTGATTGATGTGTGCAGTCATCTCTGCTGTTATGCGATAGTTGCATTCATGTAAGACGCCGACCTATATAGAATCGCTACCTATATATGTCAGTTGTATAAAGAAAATATGAAGTAATGTGTGATGTTTTGTGAATGTACCAAGCAAAATAATTTGAATTATCCATGTTTACTGATTATTGGTGTACCCTCTCCCCTTAATTAGCCTGGATAATTGAGAGTTTACTGCATAAGGGTAAAGATTTTAGAAAGTGTTTATAAGTTATGTGAATCCAGATGGATGTATGGTGCAGAGATGTGGGGTATAGAGAAAATACAGAAAGAAAGTAACAAAATTCATGGGGGGGGGGGGGGGTGGGGAAAAAATGCCGCAAAGGGGATGGCTAAATTGAAAATACAAAGGGGCAAGGTAATGAGAATGATGGTGAAAGATCTATTAACAGTCTGTTGTGAATGGTAGATGAACAATTTAAAATTCAAAAGATCAGCAAAGAAATTGTAAGGGAAAGTAAACAAAATAGGATTAGCATATATGTGACAAATCAATAAGAGCATATATTATGAGTAGGATGTAAAATTTAAAAAAAAGATGTGATGATACATAAAGGCAGAATTTGTTGTATTTCACCGTGACATGAAATAGAAATAGACGAATGTATTGAGTGTTCTACAAGAAATAAGAGATAAGATGGTTTAAGACAGGTATTTGGAAAAGAAGAGTGATTAACAGAGGATATGAGACAGGAAAAATTACCCTATGTTTATAGAGTATGAAGATGTTAAAAGATATTATTGAACAGTTTACAAATTGAAAATTGGAGAATTTTTTTTATGTAACAAGTATTTAATATAAATGAAGATTTAGTTTGTAAGAGAATAATAAATGTTATTAATGTTCTTAATTTTAAAATATTAGAAAGTAACAGTACGATTTAGATGTAAACGTGAAAATAAAATTCGTTAAGATGTAGTTAGATACCAAGGGTAAGAGAGAGAAGAGAATTATGGATATATAAATATGTGTTACATGGCAAGAGCGTAGTGTTAATAGAAATATATATAGAAGAACTGTGTGAACTGCAAAAATCTGTTGTCAAGCAGACAAAGCCCTAGGCATTAGAGAAAACAACTTTGTTATTGTTGTTGTTCTTCCCATATAAATAGGCTAAATTTAAGAATACCTTTAAACCTCTGTATTTCTAAATCCATGGAAAATGTCAGCTCACCAATACACTTTATGCCATTTTCATCCAGTGCATAGCCCTGGTTGCACTTGCAGCTGAAACCTCCAACCGTATTCTTACAGCGACCATTGCTACACATTCCTGGGAACTCCGTACATTCGTTAATATCCTTGCGATCAATGAAGCCATTCCCTTTGGGGCACAGTTCCTGATGAGCCTGAGTTCCTGACCGTGGGCAAGGTTCACATCTGCTGGTTCCAGTGTCCCCTCCACCCCAAGCTTTGCCCACAGAAGAGCAACAGCATAGGATGCGTGAGAAAATTCCTTCTAGAGGATTACTGCACTGCCCGTGTCGGTACTCAGTATAACACGCCTCCTGCCTAACATCCAGATATACTGTACATGTGGACATACATAAATTCTACACATTTCAGTGAAATACTGATATACGTCAGTGAAGGAAAAGCTGATTGCAAATTGTAATGTAAT